GGAAAATTAAATTGCCTTAGTTCTAAAATAACCAATAAATATTAAATTAAATTAAACGGACTAAGGCAATTTAATTTTCCTGAAGGAGTTAATCACAAGTGATGATGAATATTATCTTCATTGAGATAGAAACTTTTTAGAGAAACTCAAAACAAAACCATAAGAATTATGCTCAAAATGGACAATATCATATTTTAGAGATCTGTAATTCCTAACCATATTAGAATATATGACCATATCTAAAATGACATGATAATAATAATTATTAGATAACTGCAGACATATTTATTGAAGGGATTGAATTAAATGATTAAATCTTTTTAAAAACGTTCATTCTCTAGTCAACTCAATTTTTAATAAAAAATAACTTAATAAATCAATTATATTTTAATTTTGAGTTTAATGAATGGCGATAAAGACATCTACTCCCCAAACACATAACACATAAGATTAAAACTCATAAGCAATCCTAACATTCACTTTCAATTTTTTTTCTTCTTAAATATGGTCGTAATATTTCCAAAATAAATAAAACCCATTTAACTATAATTTAAATTACAAAGTTGGCCCTATAATTTGGAGAAAATTAGAATTTCGCCTTGTAGGGTTGTTTATAAAACGTCCCTACAGTTTGATAAAATCTTTCTTAAAAACTATAGGAACTAATTCGAACCTTTAAAATCCTAAAGACGAAATTTTAGGTTTCTCAAAACCATAGAGACCGAGTTCATAATTTAACCTTAAATAAATATACATAAAGTTAACAATACTTGCAAATTCATAAGTACCTCTGCAAGCCCGTTCTCTGTTAGTTTTGTATGGTTTACTTCTAATTCTGTATTTTGAACCTCTCAGATAGCAGAGCTTTTCATGCTAACGCTAAATGCCACTTCTTGAATGTTGAGACTTTCATCAAATGTTGATTTTAGCTAGCTACTGCTAATTGAAGGTTAACCTGCAAGAGGATTAGCATGTATCGTCACCTGATTGAGCCTGATCTCGGCAAGAGGACGATCTCGCCGACCCAGTTTGAGTCTGCACCAAGCTATACATCAGCAAGACATTCATGCAGATGCTAAGAATTTAAACAGATGCGATGAAAAAACAGTAATTCGCTACCTAAAGACTATGCTAGTCGCACTTCAGATCATACCCAACAAGCTAAATGCAAACCTGTGCACATATATCAGCTGAACATGTATAAATACCTCCTAATCTTTAAAAATAGCATTGCGTTTTAAATGAAATACCAATGACTTTCTCTTTGTTCGTGTAGCGTAAAATTATTCAATGCAATACCGATCTTTAAGTTTTAATTTATATAATGTAAGAATGTCAGAGTATCATCCACGAGATTGGTGTGGCTCACTTAATTAGCACAAATACAATCACCAAATTTTATTTAGAGAAAGAAATAAAAAGATGAATAAGATCAAAAATAACATAAAAACATAGAATAAAAGATGGAGAACAATACCAACTATTCAATTAATTACACAACCAAGATTAACATTCATAAGTCGTGAACAAAAATGTAAAAATTGCATCTTATGAATACAATTAAATGCTTAAAGTGTCAATGAAACTTTAGCGTTTTTCATCCAAAATTTAATGATAAAAGTATTTTTGAACATTTTTGAAAGTTCAAAAATATTTTTGAATCCTTTTAAAGTTTATATGTATCAATGAGACAAATTGTTAACGTTTTCTATTCAAATTTAATGGAAATATTATTTTTCTGAACTTTTTTAAAAAAATCAAAGTTATTTTTTTTTAACATAGTTAAAGTTTAGAAGTATTATTGAAACAAAAATCGTACCTTTTCCATGATATCAAACCCATGAATCACTCTGCCGAACACAGTGTATAATCCATTCAGATGTGGCTGCTTTGCGCAAGTTATAAAAAATTGGCTTCCATTCGTATTTGCCCCACTATTAGCCGTTGATAATATATCCCTCTTGCATTGTGCTATAAAACCAGAACAGAGAACCTTTTAGAATAAGAATCAGATTCTAACATATAAACAGCTTAGGACAGGAAGGTTTCTTGAATTTCCACTTTCGATCTCAGCTTCACCAGCATGGTTAGGGATGCAAATTTTCATTGAATAAGCGTCTCTCGTCTTATTTAGGTCAGAAAAGACGAGCGAGTTCAGTAAACTGCTACATGGCATGATGCACATCATATTACATACCTTGAGCGACTCTCTTATCTCGTCATTTAACTTTTTGCCCCATATACTGGTTCCTCCTTTTCCCGTGCCTGTTGGATCTCCACCTTGTATCATAAAACCTTTGATGTTTCGGTGGAATATGGTTCCATCATAGTAGCCACTAGCACATAGTGCCAAAAAGTTCTATAACCAATAAAACATTAGTGTCAGTATGAACATTGCAGATAACAATAATCCAGCAGACAGAAGATGGGCAGAAGCAGAATTCTAGCCAATATTTTCTGGTCACTCTTACGTTAAAACATTTTTCCACGTACAAAAGAAAGATGACATTATAGGATAACAAGCTCAGCTGCAAATAAACATGCAAAGGAAAAAACTGTTCGGAAAATGGCAAACAGCTTCTTGTGCTACAGAAAAAAAAAAAAACTGAAAGAGGATTGACAACTCTCTAGTTCTCATGAGTGCAAATATACATTGGCCTTAAAAAAGATATCATTCGGATGTCCACCGCTCAATACCTCCTAAATATGGTGATAACCAATCACTGATCCATTGCATGTACCCGAAGAAGAAATTACAAGAAGCAAGACAAAGAAGATTCAAGAGGCCTTTTGGTGTTATCTTTCTTTTACAAATCTTAGTTTAGGTTTGAAGTAAAACCGATTATTGGATTAGTCTTGATCAAGCTAATTCTGGAGTGAGTCGTCTTGGGATCTAAGAGTAACCATTATAGATTCAAAGTTCGATCTAAGAGTTATTCATCGTTCTAACCGGCTCTTGGTTAAAATCATTCGTTAAGTTAGCGTTATTTGTAAACGTTTACAAGGATCCTAGAAAGACCTCTAGCTTTGCAAATCCAACATTGTTGACACTTATCCTATGGAAAATATCCATACCCATAACTTTGCTACCTCTCTATTTTCCAAGCCAATCCAAAAAACATGATAAACCAATGCATTATCTAAGACCAATGGGAATTATCTAATAACGTCTCAGGTTAAGTGAACATCAGAATCTTCCATTCATTTGAAACAACGAAGGAGAAAGCACACTAACTTTCATTACTGACGTATGTCAACAGAAGTCAATTAGGCGTTAGCTTAATCTCAATGAAACCATTTGCCCAGAAACTCTTACAGGTACCAGTAGTATTTCTTAATTCTATCATCTACCCCCACCGTGACAGTGAAACTAAAGAAAAATGACAAGCCATAAAACTCTAGCAACTAGCAAAAACTGCGCGCTCGAGGTTTCGTAGAAATTCCAATTAAATAAAAATGCAGAAGTTGCAAAAACTAATCAACGAAGCTTTCACAAAAAATTGCAACCTAGCTCCTCGAGAATACAGTGCATCTCGATGAATTAAGTTCTCTCCACGACTAATCACCACCAGAGTTAAAGAAGAATCCGATCAACTTTGCGGATAGAAAGGATGAGAAAATCAAATTATCACTTATCAGTAAACAATAACTTCCAACCTAAACAAGAACATCCACGAAACATGGAGTAAACTTAACAACAGAAGATAGAGGAGACGAGCGATGAACTTGCCTCGGCAGATTTCGGGACTTCATCGCAAAAAATCTCGCACTTGATGTCGCCGAGATTTGTGAGCAAAGTAACAGACTGTGAACACAAATGGAAAAAAGAAAATCAGAGGCACAAAATGAAATTCCTCCATGGATGGGCAGCTGAAAGAAAAAGAAGCCAAGGTGTTCGATCAAATGACGACGAGAGAGAATAATACCCCGCATTTTCAGATCCGCCCTGCGAACGTGCGGGAATTCGGTTTTCCAACTCATAACATATATATATATATATATATATATCAATTATTAAGTGAGTAAGTTAAATTAATACAAATAAATATATAATCATAAACTTCGTAAACTTGGTATTTTAAACCAAAAATGTCGACTTTTAAATATTTTTTATTTCATTGAAACCCTTCAATTTTTTTAAATAATTTAAAATTATTTTTTATTGTTAATATCATATTTTAAAAACACATTTAAACTTAAAAATATTTCATTATTACCCTCCAACTTTTTAAAATAATTAATTTTTTTTTATTGTTAATATATATTTAAATTTTCTTTATAATTTTGAATGTAGTCTACTTAAAAAAAAATGCGGAAAAAAAGTGGTAAATTATTAAAATTACGTTTAACAAATATTCGTAATTATAAATCTGAATTAAATCTGAACAAAGACATTTAAACACAAACTTTTCATTTTAAAATGATTAAAATAAGTTTTATCTTCTAAAAACATGCTTTTTAATCCTTCAAAATTAACTTAATGTTTAATTTTTATATATAATTAAAAACATATTTGAGAGTGGTTTTGTAATATCTCAAGCCCACAGCTAGTAAATATTATCCACTTTGTCCCATCAAGTATCGTAATCAGCCTCGCAATTTTGAAAAGCATCTACCAGAGAGAGGTTTTCATAACCTTATAAGGAAGGCTTCGTTCCCCTATCCGACCGATGCAAGATCTCACTGATTTTGAGCACAACAAACATAATTAACTTTTCCAAAATCACTCGTAAACATACTATTAACGGAGCAAAATCAAATTTTATGGTGCAAAAGTAGCACATTAAGCTGACTTTAAACGATCAAAAACATGTTTGAGAGTAATTCCGAAAAAAAAAAATCCGTCCAAACCACATAATTCAGTAGCTTTCTCATTTCTGTTCTACCATGCCAAAGAGGTTCCACACTCCACAGTTCCAACAAGTACAAGAAAAAATTAGAATTTACTGATCTAAATTGAAGCTTTAATCTTAACATCAACAATTGGATAAACACAAGCAAACCAAAAGGAGAGAAGCAGATATAATTGAAACTTTCAAATAATCTGACATTGTTCTTAAAGCATTTCAGATGAACAGGACGAAAAGAATGGTGTGATATGAAGTAAAAGGAGTATCAACCTCATAATAATCCATGCTAGTTTTCTTCAAGGACCTCTTTGTGTACATGCATGCATGTTGAGCTACAATATTTATAGTTGTACCGGTGGAAAGGAACCTTACCAGCTAGCGACTTACCGCAACAGGAACAGTTGATGTCCCCGGCTAACCCGGTTTTAGTCTGAGAGCTGTTCGGAATAGTTGACGAGGAACCATTGGTGGCTGCAGCTGCGGCCATGGCTGCGATTCTCCTCTCGGCAGCTGCTGCTCTCTTTTCGCGCTCGGGTGGCTGCAGCTGCGGCCATGGCTGCGATTCTCCTCTCGGCAGCTGCTGCTCTCTTTTCGCGCTCGGCAGCCTGTACCATCTGTAGATTGTTGCAGAGATTAGTAAAATATCGAGTAGGACTCGTTTTAAGTCTATTTGGGAGCCACGCTCAAAAAAACCCTTTTGTTTTTCCTTCTGAAAAATTGACTTGGAAGCTTGATTTGACAAGAAAAAGGATAATATTGATGAACACTATGATCCAATCTTCACAAACATGTACGCCAGCCTCTTGCTGGTTCAATTCAAACAGCTTAAAGAGTTACCTCTTTGGTAATCAGTTTTCCACTGGTTGATTCAGCTCGAGGATTCAAAATAGAGCCGATTCCTCTGCCGTGTTCCGCCTTTGCAGCTTTTTGAGATTCAGCAGCCTCGGCCTCGGCCTGCCAGCAATATTCAGCACACAGCTCAAACAAGAAGGAAAGAAAAGGCAAGAATCCGAATGAGTAACGAGACGTTGAAATTCAGTTTGGATATTATTCATAATCCTTGAGGTCTCTAAAGGCTTCAAAACACGATGTCGACATGAGATGTTTATAAAGGTTTTGGGTTCTCGGCCTGGGCCGAAAACTTAATAACTTAGAACCCTCGTTGTCGTCCCTATTGGCCTTGCAATGAAGAACCATGGAGTAACATAGGGAGTGAGCCAGGAATATAACGAAAGGAATTGTACTTCCGATACCCTGGTTACAAAAGATAACGTTCGGAACAACGGAAAATCCGATGCCAATATAACCATTTAATCAAGAAAGGAGCACAGACTAGGGTCTCAACAAGTTTCAACATAAAATTAGAAACAAACCAATTAAACACAAACCTGTGCTTTCTTGGCCTTTTCTTTCTTTAACTTCTTCAATTCCTTCGCTCGTGCCTTTCGCTTGGCATCTTTTTCTGCCTAAACAATCCCCAAAAAGGGAAAAAATTTGGTTCATCTCCATGAAAAACTGAATAAACATTTCAAGCCAACAAACAAATGTCTAAAAAGTGAAAGGAAGAACAATAGATGCGCCAAAATATCTTAGTTCTCGTATCCAACAGTTTTTAGTCCCGAAAGCATGAAATCTTTACCAAGTTTACCGTCATTGCAATGTTTCTAAATTATAACGAAAACCAATCAATTTCAACAGCACAAGGGGACTTCTTGACGTATTTCAAATAGGAGAAGCTAAAACACAAGATATATATATCTATACTATATAGAGTCATATCAAACAGCAGGAAGAACAGTTTTAAGTAACCTGCTTAGCAGCTTGTGATTCCTCCATTTCCTTGGTTAGCGCGCTCGGCACTTTAGCAGCATTCCAATCCCACTTATCCAGGTTTGAAGCCATGAACCTTCTGAAGCTATTTCGGACTTCCTTTTCAGTTGCTAGCATGTAAGGAGTCCGTCCTCGTTCATCTTTGGCGCAAGGATCAAGACCCTGTTTAAGGAGTTCCAAAACCTTATCTGCATTTCCAGTCTGTGATGCTTCATGCAGAGGTGTAGTTATACAAATACTTTCACTTTCACTCTCTCTAGTTATTGGATGTTCAACAGATTCTTCAAGATGTGTACAAGCATCCTTTTCCAAGTCCCCAATAACCTTCGGTTCACCTATATCTTGGGTGCCATTGTCTGTTGTAACTACACTTGAAGGTGAATTGTGCTCACTGGTGGACAATATTTCCTTATCTTCTACTTCATATGCTACTTGCACCAATTGTTCATAAACACGTCGAGCTTCTTTTAACGTAGGCCTTCGAACAGTCAAAGGAATATTCCGAACAGCAGAACGCTGATTGCTAAAATATGGCTTATCCCCATTAAAAAGTAATTGCCGGTTGTTTGAAGGAGCATAAATATAAACGCAAGAAGAAGCATTAAAATAGGACTTCCAAGCAGCTAGGAGATCTTGAATTTCCTACAAGATCAACAATTACAGTTCAGAAGCCAATTTAAACAAAACGTGATCCTGTCACAAACATGGTATAAAAAAGAAATAAGTGTTCGAAACAAAAGATTGGGTTCATCGGTTTCACTCGGGAAAAAAGAAGATTAGGTTCATTGGGGACATTAACTTTATATTTAGTCACAGTTTTCAAAAACAACTACGAAACAAGAACATACAAGTATTTTCAACACGGTTTGCCAATAAAGCCTACCTATCTTCAAAAGAGAAACTGTTTGCACCAAGTAATTGAATTCAATTGTGAAATCATAGGAATTCATGGGTGTGAAAATGAATATTAAGCTAAAAAAAGAGGAAGAAAAGAGGAATGCATGAGTCGAGGCATTTTGTAGTCATCAATAAACTATATTACACCTTCTTCAACGCGAGTTCATTATGACGACGAAGTGAAGCCCCGGCAGAACTGATTGTTTTGCCACTTGCATCTTTCGATGACTGCTTCTTTCCAGACTTGGCTCTCACTACATATCTACATAATAAGAAAGTTTATATCTCATGTAAGGAAAGCACGCACAACAAGCATCAAAAACCAAATGGAAATTCAGAACATAAATGTCTTTGATAATAGCAGCATTACAAATTTCAGGGCCAGGGTTTCAAGTAAGAGCAAAAGTATCATAGGTTACGTTTGATATGTCTGTTTTCATAGTTGACTGCACGATCAAAGAAATAGACTGGAAACTATTAGAAGTGAAGAGTTAATAAAGAAGAGATTTCCAACCTGTGAAAGGTTTTATGAGCTACAACCGAGTTCCCGTCGAAAACACAACCGGCAAAGTGCCCACCACTTGCAAGCAACACTATCCGCAAATGGGTGCCATCTCTTGGCTCGTGATTTAGATATTTCAATCTCGCTATGACTTCATTCTCTCTAAGATATTGTGAATGAATACCATTACCGCCGACCGATGTTTTATCATCCTCATACGAAATACTATCCGACTCATTTATGAGCAAACACTTCCAAACCGAAACTCTTTCACCTGTTTGAAGATGAATGAACAACTTCTTCTTGTTCACACTATCATTTGTTACCTTAGACCCTTCATTCCGAGAGGAAATCTCCTTCTCTGTTTCGTCCTCTGATCCAGAAATACTTGACACATCAAAGTCTCTGAAAGAATCAGATGTCAGCTCATCAAAATCATCCTCCTTGACAATATTCTTTCCAGCAATGCTTAGCTTCACCTAATATTTAGTTATAGCACAGTAAATACTTTGAAAACGAAGAAAACAAGAAATCATTCACTTCATCAAACATGTCAACAATGAATTCAGCTTAATTTCTATGAACATTTAAGACAAGATCGTTGAACCCGATGGTTAAATTGAGAGCAGGAAGAAAAGAGGGACTCAATTCTAACTAGAGGGATGGAACGAATTAGAAATGAGGGACAATTACTCTTGTTTTGTCTTGGATTAAATAAATTATGCTAACAAGTTGAGATTTAAAATTTATATCTCTAACTTTGCCCTTGAAGATTTCTATACACTTGCTTAGAATGTGAAGTTTTATCATTCCTGAAAAATTCAGGCTCCGTTCTGGCTAAACCAGAGCAGATATTGTTTCTAATTCCATAATTAATCAAATCGTCAATGAATCAAATATTAACCCAATTTTGATTCCGACGAGTAAAAACCTTAAAGATTTAAGGGGAAACAAAACGTTGATGGTCCAGAGTTCATTGCCAGACACAATAATCAAATTTACAAAACACTCTACTCAGTCAACTTGTTCAAATAGCAAGCAGAAGAACCAGCAAAGTTTACATTGAACCGGTGGAGGTCGGATTTGAAGTGCGAACGCTGGTCGAGGAGGGATTCGAACTCGGCCTTGCATGTGTTGCAGGTCCATCTTTGGGCAACGGAACTTTCTTTGAAATCCCTAGAATTCTGCTCCGAATCGACTGGATTTTCTGCGCTTGAGCTGTAGCTGCCGCTGGTTGATGAGGTGTATGAATGTGGAGAACGAAGGAGTTTGCAGGAAGCGAAGAAGTCCGGCGGGACGTTGAAGATAGAACGGTTCCGTTTCTCCGGCGGAATGCTTGGGGTATTGCTAACGTCGACGACGGCAGCGGCGGGATTGGTCTCCATGGCCGTATTGTCGAGTTCCTTGAGAAATTGAGATGAGAGCCTTTCTTAGGACGAAAATTGAAAGAACGATTACAAATTTAATCTCTTTAAAAGGGGTTTTTACGTCTAAGTTAAAATAGGTCGGAATTAAAGTTTGAATTAGATTATCTCTTTAAAAGGGGTTTTTACGTCTAAGTTAAAATAGGTCGGAATTAAAGTTTGAATTAGAATATCTATTTAACACGGAAGGGCGAGTTATTCTGATTCACAATCCAATCTATTTAAATCCACAATGGAAAAGAGAGATTTGTCTCCATTCAACGAGACTGGATTATGAAAATTATCTCGTGCCCGATTATATATATAATTCATTTGCTAAATAAATAAATATTTTTTAATAAATATTATTTACTTGACCTTTTACATATAACCATCCATCTCACAATTTTAAAATGCAATTTCCAAAACCTTCTACTACTAAGTTTGTTTTACTAGTGGTGCATGTTTAGGGAAAAGATTAAGGCCGCAGAAGGCTGATGAAGCAGCGATGGTCGTGCCCACGATGGAGGTGAAAACGGAGCAGAATTGGGCAGTAATCGACGACTTACCGGCCCTCGTGATGCCGTTGATGAATCTCGGTCGACAGAGTTCGGCGGGAAGTTGAAACGAGAGAACCTCGTTTGTTCATCGGCAGAGGGAGTTGGCCAATTGCAGGAGATTCACGATGGAGGTGAAAACGGAGCAGAATTGGGCAGTAATCGACGACTTACCGACCCTCGTGATGCCGTTGATGAATCTCGGTCGACAGAGTTCGGCGGGAAGTCGAAACGAGAGAACCTCGTTTGTTCATCGGCAGAGGGAGTTGGCCAATTGCAGGAGATTCACGATGGATGTGAAAACGGAGCAGAATTGGGCAGTAATCGACGACTTACCGGCCCTCGTGATGCCGTTGATGAATCTCGGTCGACAGAGTTCGGCAGGAAGTCGAAACGAGAGAACCTCGTTTGTTCATCGGTAGAGGGAGTTGGCCAATTGCAGGAGATTCACGATGGAGGTGAAAACGGAGCAGAATTGGGCAGTAATCGACGACTTACCGACCCTCGTGATGCCGTTGATGAATCTCGATCGACAGAGTTCGGCGGGAAGTCGAAACGAGAGAACCTCGTTTGTTCATCGGCAGAGGGAGTTGGCCAATTGCAGGAGATTCAGCAGAGCAGGTTCTTATATTCACAAGCACCTGGTTGCTGGTCTGCGTGTTCCTACTCACCTTCTCGTTCCAATTTGGAAGACTGTTGAGGATTCTATTATCATGGTTAAGTTTAGAGCATGATTTTGATACCATATTAGAAATTACGACTTTTCATAATAATATAATCTTATCCACTTTGAACATAAGCTTTCATGACTTTGCTTTGGACTTCCCAAAAGACCTCATACCAATGAAGATCTATTCCTTTACTTATGAAGGTATGATCATTCCCTAAATTAGCCAACGTGGGATTCACATTCCCAACCAATTCCTTTACTTATGAAGGTATGATCATTCCCTAAATTAGCCAACGTGGGATTCACATTCCCAACCATCCTCAACACTTATCCTACAAAAATTAATGAAACTATGGACACAATTGAAATTACAAAAATGGTGGAATAAAATCTAAAAGTATTAGCAACACTGGTTAAATGTTCAAGTTTTCGCTAAATTATGGATATATTAACCCAATTGATCATTAATTAACCTACTTGAAAAACAACTCATTACAAAGATGTGATTGCTTTTATTTTATAATATTCTACATTTCTAAAAACTTCAAACACATCAAATTAAACAACTAAGATTAGATTGAGGTCAACTCTATTGGTAAGATTTAATCAAGACGAGACCAATTGAGATTGACTAAGATTGATCATCATATCTCAAACTCGAAACCTCTAGAAATCGCACTAGAGATGGGAAACTTGGAACAATTAGCCCCATAGGCATGATCTAGCCTGTATCACTATGAGAATGCCACTAACAACTTTTTCCAACATTTTGATTAAATCATGAATGCTACATGACATAGAGATTACACACAGATATTCACTCAACCCTAAATGAAGAGGCATGAGCAAGAGAAATTAGTTAAAAATGAAGTGATGTTCTACCTGCTGCTACTGCAAATACCGGATGGATCTGCATTCATGATTATCCAGGGATGCTCCACTATCTTCTGAAGTGAAAGTCTTCTAGAGGAGTCCTTCACCAAGAGCTGTGTAAAATTTTAATATAATCAGAGCCATACCAGAAGTATGCATATCATTCCTACTCCTACCAAATAAAGACATTCACAAGGTTAACTAACCCGGCCAATTAGATCTTTTGCTTCGGAAGAAACGTGAGGAGTCGAGGGAAAATTCAAGTCAACCTTCATTATCCTGCATATATGACACAGGCCCAAAAAATAAAATGTACCACTTCTCATATTTTTTATAAATCGCATTCTTACCTTTTCTAAAAATTGAGTTATTTATTAGAAGTTCTCCAAGTTCTCGGGGAGAGATTAATCCATACTACATACATTTTCTAATCTTCGAGCCGAAATCCTATTAGATGAAATTCTAAAACTTAAACAACTTAGTTGAGGGCTCCGTGACCAATTATAAACGGAAGGTTCACCCATGGTTGATGGGACATTCCCACCCTATCCATTTATTTCTCCCTCGTTACACTAATGAGTTGTTACTAATTCATTCAAGGAAGGCATAGATCCCCACCTACTTTATTGTCTTATTAGCACAGGTGTTCGTCAATGATGAAAGCTGCTAAGGATTAAATTTACACCAGAACATTTTAACCTTAAAATTTTTGGGTAGAATCTATTTAATCCTAATGTGTTATGTATAAGTAGCCTAATAAAAATGAACGACATGAGAAAGTAAGCAGTAGCCACTCTTTAATGAAGATAAGGATCTTAAGTCTGTGTTCTTTTTGCAAATTATATGTCTAACCTTTTAAACGTGTCACTTTGACTTTCAGCTTCAAATGGAGGCACTCCATAAAGGAACTCATAGCAGAGAATGCCCAAAGTCCAATTATCTACTGCATAGTCGTGAGCTTTATTCTCCACCATTTCTGGGGCTAAATAATCCAGAGTTCCACACATGGTATGTCTCTTGCTTCTCGACTGTACAGACCATCCAAAATCTGCAATTTTCAGCCGGCCCTACAAATACAACACGCAGAAAAACATATAATATTTTCTTTCTCTATGATCTACAAAGTGCGGTGAAATCTGGATTCTACCTCCAGGATAAAACGAGGGTTTTACTAAGGTTTTGAAAAAATCATGCGAAGAAACATTTTCTAAGCTGTGGAATGACAAAGAGAGGAGAACTTATACCTCATGATCAAGCAGCAAATTTTCTGGCTTAATGTCCCTGTGAATCACATGCTTCGAGAACTTATACCTCATGATCAAGCAGCAAATTTTCTGGCTTAATGTCCCTGTGAATCACATGCTTCTCATGGCAGTATGCCAATGCTTGTGTGAGACTTAAAATGTACTGAAATTCACAAGAAACAAACATAAAGGAACCTTCAGATAATGTAAGGACTAGGTTTAAGTTGTTTCTGAGACAATTTCATAAAATTTTGTCTCTGGCTCAATCTTCTAATATATTTTACTTCAGCATCTTCAGTTCAAAGTAACAAGTTCACAACGATAGAGAGAAAGGAATATTACAGTGGCAGCTTGCTGCTCGCTGAGATGACCACTTTTCCTAAGCTCCCTATAAAGCTCACCGCGGTGAGCGTATTCCAATATCAAGAAAATACGTTCAGCATCATGAAACCATCCATAGAGGCGCAGGATGTTGGGGTGCCGAAGACTAGTTTGGATCTCCATCTCTCTCCTCAACTGATGATGAATCCTGTACTTCTCCATCTGCTCCTTGAAAATGACCTTCAGTGCCACTATATACTTGCTCTGAAAATCAAATCGGAGCTCCTAAGGTCAAACCAAAATCTAGAAATGCAATCTCAAGTTTGGAAAAAAGAAAAAAAATACTAAAAAAATTCATGTTTATTTTAATGCAAAATGGACTGCAGAGATTAAAAGTTGTGTTTATACGATAAATCGTACACTATCGCTATTCTGTGTAAAGTAAAATTAAGGAAAATCAAACTGTTCGGTCATCGAGAATTGATAGCACTGAGTAGCTATGATAATTTCCAGAACAAGAGACTTAGCAATCTCTGCTTGATTCACCAGAATAGAGAAGAGAAAATGCAAAATCATATCATATCACTTCTATCCAGCAAAATCCATATGCAGTCGCAAAATGACAAAATTCCGTTCAGATTTATAAGCTATTGAGTAGACCAGAACAAAATATAGTCATTCAAAAATCAAACAAAGAACCGAAGGACTAAAGATCTGGAATCACCAAAACAACTGTAGAACATTTCGAGAAGAATGAAACAGAAAACGAACCTTAACTTCTCTTGCTAAATAGACTCTGCCGAATTTTCCTTTGCCAAGGGGCTTTCCTACATCGAAGTCTTGCAAGGACCATTGCCGCTTTGGAGTTCCATTTTCTTCCTTCATCAGAGATTTTTTCATCGATTCGCCACTGTGAGAACGCAGCAAAGCGAGGGAACTGAGGACGTTGGACGAAAATTCGAACGGAATGAATTTGAATTCCTATACCCGTCCAACCCCCTTAAACGCACCGTTTCATCCTCCGTTCCCTCCTACCTACATTATTTTGAACCAAAATCCTTGGCTCCATATCAGTGCGAGTCCGCACTATTATTAATTTTTTTTAATAAATAAAAATTAAAACATTAAAACATTTTTTTAAATTTATTTATCTTTAACCATTAAATTTAATGATGGCATGCTAAATTTTTTTTTTTTTTTTTTTTTAATTTCAAAGTATCCTTT